AGAAATTATATATATATATGTAGATTTTAATAATTTAAATTTATTTTTTTGATAAATTTATATAAATTTATAAATTATTTATATAAAATAATTTTTGGATTTGAAATGATTAATTATTAATTTTATATATTGATTGGAATTGATAAAATTATTTATTTTTTTTTTAATGGGACCCGGAGTTGGTCGTGGTATTGCCGTATGGTAATTCTCCTTTCCGAAGGAAAAAGGGATCGCTGCCCCTGCACCCGATCCGTATTTTACGGTATTTTTTGTCGTTCCTATTTTTCGACTTTTGTGGCCTAAGATGGATTAGTATGAGCCAATATAGCCCGTAAGATGGGCTATCACAGCCCCAAGATGGGCCAACTTAGCCCTAAAATGAATCTAACATAGGCCAATATAATCCCAAGATGGACCAATAGCCCTAAGATGGGCCAAGATGGGCTAACATAGCCCTAAGATGGGCCTAAATTGTCCTTAAGATAGGTCAATATAGACCCAAGATGGGCCAATATAGACCAGCATAGCCCCAAAATGGGCCCATATAGCCCCAAGCCTTTCACAACAAACCACGAACCCCAAACCAGAAACCCCAAACCACAAACAACAACCAGAACAGCAACAACACCGACAACCGCAACAACCATAACAACTCGATCCCTATCACCTCAACATGGGCCCCCGGCTGTCGCGCGTGTAAGTGCTTAAATAAAATCCGGGCGCCGGCCAACGCGCCGTAACCCGTATCCTTGCCGGAGGCCTTCGATGGTAACCGAGAGCTCTATGGTGAGGCGCGCCCCAAGCCGCCGATCCTCCGATACCGGACCCGGAAAAACACCAAAAATCCTTTACCCTGCTGGGGGAGAGCTCTTTGGATGGAATCCGGGTCGCTCGTGAGCGTCTCCAAGAGCATTCCCCCCCCCTTCGTTTTGAGGCTACCTAAAATCGGAAAAAAATGTTATTTTGACGCATTTTTCGAACGATTTTTCGTTTTTCGAAATTTAAAATGCTGTAAATAACAACATTTTTGTTTTTTTAATATCGTTGGTTTCTTTCAGAATTCTTTTCTTGATAATTTGTATCTGCCTCTGAGACATGTTTTTCTCCAAGCTGCTCATGCGCGAGCTTAGGGAAGATGGCGCCGCTGATACCCAACATCTGTGGGTAAGGACTGAGGAAAAACCCTAGCCTGAAACTGCTGGCCAACCCAATGCCGGAACATCGGAGCAATCATCAATCGGGAATCATACAAAAATGCAAAACATATTATAAATAACAATCTTTTTAAAACCAGAAACACGCAAAAAATTACAAATACCAACATTTTTGAGAATAAAACAATTACTTTACTTCGTGGATCCCCACCATGACATTTATACATTTTCTTACTGGCAAATCTTCTGGCATTCTATCTGACATATCTTCTGACATT